ATCTTTTTTTTTTTTTTTTTTTTTTTTTTTGGGGGGGGGGGGGGGGGGGGTTTTTTTAAATTATGACCACAACCTCGATTTCACTGGAAAAAGGATGACATGAATCATACGACAACAAGTCACAAGTTACAACAACGCTTTAATTATGTCCTTACCCCTGATTCCAAACCGCTTTTAAGTCCCACCCCCTAAATTCTTTACCCCTTTTAAGTGCTGCCCCCTAATTCCTAACTCCTTTTGAAAACCGCCCGCCAGTACATGGTCTCAGGCAACTTCCAAATTCATTGAAAGTTTTGTTTTAAAAAAAAAAAAAAAGAGTGACAGGACCAACAAAATGGCTGGCGGCACCACCCCAAAAAAGAATGACCCCCTAAACCGTAACCCCAAAATTTGTTTTACATGAGCCCTTGCTACCTCTAGTCCTCGTCCCAAAATGCTAGTACCTAGTAGCCTATGCCCCCCACCTCCAGCAGGTGCTGCTCCCCACCCATAGATGGAGCCCTCCCCGGGTGCTAGCGGTGTCTGCTCGTACCAGCACCGCTAGCAATGACGGGTGCGTCTTTTCAAAAAAAAAAAAAAAAAAAAAAAAACTATCACTAATATAAAATCCCCTATATCTCTAACCCCTAACCCATCTCTACACCCCTCTTCTCTTTTCCTCTTACAACGCTGGTTGCTTTGTATCGGCGCGAAGCTCCCTTGTTGGAGACGAGTTTTGTTTCCCCCCCCCCCGCTTTTTTTTTAATAAAAAGAGCAACGGCCTTGACATATCATCGTTGAACGGACGGCTGCTGGGTACTTCAGAAATATGTTATTATTTTGTTAATTTGACTGCATCTGGCTTCAAACTTGGGTCTGTACGTTAACAGTTACTATGTATAAGGTGTAGTACCAACTGAGCTACGCCCAATGCATTTTGGTGGTTGAAAAAAGTTCCTGAGTGACCCATCCATTCCTTCTTTTCTAAGTCCATCAAGAGCGCTTTGCGTCTTTCTAGGAATCACATTACCATTACAAAAAAAAAAAAAGAAAAGAAAAGGAGGGGGTAACTATGAGGGAGTAGCAAAAAAGAGTTGTAATTGCACTATGGGCCAAGATATAGTTTGCAATTGCAGTTCGGGAACCATACCTGGCCAGAAAGCTGCGTTGTATACATTGTCTGAACTGCAATTGCGAACTGTATCTTGGCCCGTAGCGCAATTATAACTCATGTTTTGTGACTCGCGCGTAGTTCCCCCCCCAAAAAAAATATTCGGGACCGTGGGAGGGTAAGTACTAATTGGTAATCAGTATTTACTATTGCTACGGTCCTGGCCAATTTCGAAGTATACATTCATCAGAAAGTACAATGCCGTCCAATTGCAAAAAGAAATCATGAATGAACCTGAGAGGAGAGAGAGGGAAAGAAGAAGAGGAAGAAAGAAAGAAGAAGAAAGAAAGAAGAAGAAAGAAAGAAGAAGAAGATGATGTACTCCAGCAAAGGCCAAAGATAATGCTCTTCTTCTTTGCCAACCAATCTCCTCCTCCTTATCTCCTCCCTTCTTATTCAAACAAGAAATAACAATAATAATGTTGAATGGATGAACCAGAATCAATGTCCGAATCCCGCTTCTACTGCAGGCACAACATGAGGTCCACCATAGCCATGGCCACCCTTCTCCTTCCTCTCACATATAGGCCGAGGCTATGGCGAACTACTGAGGGCTCAAACCTCCTGTCCAAAGGACAACCCAAAGCAGCTATGTCACTGCCTCCCTGAGCAAAGGACAACGCAAAGCAGCTATGCCGCTGCTCATTAGGCCGCCATGCCTGTCTCTGCCCTGAGCTTCCTTGGTGCGGCACTACCCCAACTGGGGCCTTCCAGATGCAACGCCTATCAAGGTGATGAAGATGGTGTCCACCATAGCCAGGTAGGTACCTCACCACTCTCCTCCTTGGTCCTCTTCTCCCTCCTACTCCTACCGGTAGAGCTCCACCATAGCCAAGGTGGAAGCTCCCGACTTCTTCCTCCCAGTGGCGCTGTAGTACCCAGCGCTCCTTCCAGCCAGCGCTTCAGCAACGTGTCGCCAAACTTGCACACTGAAGAATGAGTCCGGGCTCTTCCCTCAGCCTCCTGATATAGCGGCCTACTTGCCTCCTGGGCGGTGACTTCCAGGCCGCTCAGCCTCCCAAGCAACAGGTACCTCCTCCCTTTCGGAGGGAAACATCATTGCAGACTCTGATATTGCCCGTACAGGCCCTACACTCAGACTGGATGGACTGGTACCGTCCTAGACCTAGCCTACCGCTACTGGGCCTCTAAAAATGCCAACTTTGTCTTCTTCTGCTCGGCCTCGAGTACCTGGCACATGTACTGCTACGGGGTGCGGTACCGGCCTACCTGGTACTTGAGTGTTTTCCCTGCTGCAACCCTCAATATCACGGCCACAGGTAAGTACCGGCCCTACGGGCCTCCCAAACAAGCAAGTACCATTGCGGGTCACACACACACTCATGCCGACAAGCACTCAGACAGGCACGCAGGCCAACAAGCACACACACGTACAGACCGAGAAATGCGGGAATCTCAGCAAGGCATCCATTCCATGGGCAGAACTTCAGAAATCAGCAGTGTTCTCAGTCGGTGTTATGGCGGGTCATTACACTATTTAGTAATTACCCTTCTACAATTTCAACATTCAAAAATCAAAACGCATCCAAAAAGGAAATCATAGTAGACCAAAGTAAATCATAGTAGGGAGGGATGCTCTTATCACCCTACCTACCATGGTTTTCAACGAGTCTTCTT